TGTTGAGTGCCAGGCTTAGGCTTGGTTCAAGTCTGACTGGAGTTGTAGTGGCCAGGGCTTAGGCTTGGTTACAAGTACTGACTGAAGTTATAGTGCCAGGCTTAGGCTTGTTACAAGTACTGACTGATGTTGAAATGGCCAGGCTTTGCTTGGTTTACAAGTACTGACTGATGTTTAAGTGCCAGGCTTAGCTTGGTTACAAATAAAGACTGATGTTATAGTGGCCAGCTTAGCTTGGTTACAAGTACTGACATGTTTTTAGTGGCCAGGGTTAGGCTTTGGTTTCAATACTACTGATTTAAAGTGGCCAGGCTTACTTGGTTACAAATCTGACTGATTTAAGTGGCCATGCTTAGGCTTGTTACAATACTTACTATGTTGTATGGCCAGGGTTAGGCTTGGTTTCAAATATGACTGATTTTTTAGTGGCCAGGGTTAGGCTTGTTACAAGTACTGATGATGTTGTATGGCCAGGCTTAGGCTTGTTTTAAAATATGACTGATGTTTAGTGGCCAGGCTTAGGCGGGGGACAAGACTGACTGATGTTAAGTGGCCAGGCTAGGCTTTGGGACAAGTACTGACTGATTTGTATGGGGCCCGGCTTAGGCTTTGGGTTTCAAATACTTTCTGGCATTTGGGAGACACACAGAGATGACAAACTCAATGTAAATTTATGTGATCAGGGAAATGGCACGTCTTGCACTATTGCTTTAATTTTTCCACTTTTTGAGGGAAAACAGAACAAAAGTATAATACCTATGTACATTCAAACTTATTAAAGAAAATAAGATACCAAATACAAGCAAATTTCCTAAATTTTTTCTTTTAACAGATGTGAACTGAGATATAAACCAGAGTTCTCCCGTTTACCCATTTTGGGGCCCAGTTTTTTAGCATTTGTTTTTTTGTATCCAATCTCTTTTGCTACCGTCCACAGAAAGGTATCGGGTGCACAGTAACCTACCCTTTTGGGAGCAAATCAGATCTTAACTGGGAAAAACAACACAATGTAGGGGCCCAAGACTGTTCAAATGCCCCCCCAGCATACTAAGGGGGTTACCAAAAGACGCCCGGCTGTTTCAGGAAGCACTGGACGGTAATTAAAGTCAGTACCTGACCACCGGGGTGTGGTTGTACGTCGGTTTACGGCGGGCCCCGGAACAGTCCCGTTTTTATCAGTCCTAATCACCGGGAAACCCGGTCGGGTCGGGCCACGGGGGCGTTGACCCCCCAAAAACCCCAAAGTATACCCATTTTGAAGCCTCAACCTTGTTTTTAAACCTCGTACCTGTGTTTGAAACCTCACACTTTTTTAAGCACACAAAACCCGTGTCTGAACCCACACCTGGGTCTGAACCCCCGCACTGTGTTTGAAGCCTCACACCTTGTTTGAAGCCTCACACCTGTGTTGAAGCCTCACACCTGGTTTGAAGCCTCTACCGTATTTTACGCGTCGCACCCGTGTTTGAAGCCCCTACCTGGTTTGAAACCTCGCACCTGTGTTTTTAAACCCCCGTCTGTGTTTGAACCTCGTACCCGTATTTGAAGCCTCGCACCTGTGTTTGAAACCTTTACCGTGTTTTAAGCCTTTTAACCGGGTTTTTTGCCTCGACCTGGTTTTTAACCTCGCACCTTGTTTAAAACCTCTACCCGTGCTTGAAGCCTCGCACCTGTATTTTTAAGCCCGACCTGTTTTTGAAGCCTCATACCTGTTTTTTAAGCCTCGTACCTGTGGGTTAAACCTCGACCTGTTTTGAAGCCTCAAACGTGTTTGAAGCCTCCTACCTGGTTTGAAGCCTCGCCCTGGTTGAACCTCGACCTTGTTTTAACCTCGCCCCTGTGTTTGAAACCTCGTACCTGTGTTTGAAGCCTCGCACCTGTGCTTGAAGCCTCGTACCTGTTTGAAGCCTCATACCTGTTTGAAGCCTCGTACCTGTGTTTGAAGCCTCGCACCTGTGTTTGAATCCTCATGCCTGTGTGTGAAGCCTCGCACCTGTGTTTGAAGCCTCGTACCTGTGTTTGAAGCCTGGTACCTGTTTTTGAAGACTCGTACCTGTGTTTGAAGCCTCGTACCTGTGTTTGAAGCCTCGTACCTGTGTTTGAAGCCTCGCACCTGTGTTTGAAGCCTCGTACGTGTGTTTGAAGCCTCACACCTGTGTTTGAAGCCTCATACCTGTGTTTGAAGCCTCGTGCCTGTGTATGAAGCCTCGTACCAGCGTCTGAAGCCTCGTACCTGAGTTTCAGGTTTCGTACCTGTGTTTGAAGCCTCGTACCAGTGTCTGCAGCTTCGTACCAGTGTCTGAAGCCTCGTGCCTGTGTCTGAAGCCTCGTGCCAGTGTCTGAAGCCTCGTGCCAGTGTCTGAAGCCTTGTGCCAGTGTCTGAAGCCTCGTACCAGTGTCTAAAGCCTCGTACTAGTGTCTGAAGCCTCGTACCAGTGTCTGAAGCCTCGTACCAGTGCCTGAAGCCTCGTGCCAGTGTATGAAGCCTCGTACCTGAGTTTGAAGCCTCGTACCAGTGTCTGAAGCCTCGTACCTGTGTTTGAAGCCTCATACCTGTGTTTGAAGCCTCATATCTGTGTTTGAAGCTTCGTACATGTGTTTGAGGCCTCATGCCAGTGTCTGAATCCTCGTACCAGTGTCTGAAGCCTCGTACCAGTGTCTGAAGCCTCGTACCAGTGTCTGAAGCCTCGCACCTGTGTTTGAATCCTCATGCCTGTGTGTGAAGCCTCGCACCTGTGTTTGAAGCCTCGTACCTGTGTTTGAAGCCTCGTACCTGAGTTTGAGGCCTCGTACCAGTGTCTGAAGCCTCGTGCCAGTGTCTGAAGCCTCGTACCTGTGTTTGAAGCCTCATACCTGTGTTTGAAGCCTCGTACCTGTGTTTGAGGCCTCGTGCCAGTGTCTGAAGCCTCGTACCTGTGTCTGAAGCCTCGTACCAGTGTCTGAAGCCTCGTACCAGTGTCTGAAGCCTCGTACCAGTGTTTGAAGCCTTGTACCAGTGTTTGAGGCCTCGTCGCAGTGTTTGAAGCCTCGTACCAGTGTCTGAAGCCTCGTACTAGTGTCTGAAGCCTCGTACCAGTGTCTGAAGCCTCGTACCAGTGCCTGAAGCCTCGTGCCAGTGTATGAAGCCTCGCACCTGTGTTTGAAGCCTCGTACCAGTGTCTGAAGCCTCGAACTTGTGTCTGAAGCTTCGTGCCAGTGTCTGAAGCCTCGTACCTGTGTTTGAAGCCTCATACCTGTGTTTGAAGCCTCATATCTGTGTTTGAAGCTTCGTACCTGTGTTTGAGGCCTCGTACCAGTGTCTGAAGCCTCGTACTAGTGTCTGAAGCCTCGTACCAGTGTCTGAAGCCTCGTACCAGTGCCTGAAGCCTCGTGCCAGTGTATGAAGCCTCGTACCTGAGTTTGAAGCCTCGTACCAGTGTCTGAAGCCTCGTACCTGTGTTTGAAGCCTCATACCTGTGTTTGAAGCCTCATACCTGTGTTTGAAGCCTCATATCTGTGTTTGAAGCTTCGTACCTGTGTCTGAATCCTCGTACCAGTGTCTGAAGCCTCGTACCAGTGTCTGAAGCCTCGTACCAGTGTCTGAAGCCTCGCACCTGTGTTTGAATCCTCATGCCTGTGTGTGAAGCCTCGCACCTGTGTTTGAAGCCTCGTACCTGTGTTTGAAGCCTCGTACCTGAGTTTGAGGCCTCGTACCAGTGTCTGAAGCCTCGTGCCAGTGTCTGAAGCCTCGTACCTGTGTTTGAAGCCTCATACCTGTGTTTGAAGCCTCGTACCTGTGTTTGAGACCTCGTGCCAGTGTCTGAAGCCTCGTACCTGTGTCTGAAGCCTCGTACCAGTGTCTGAAGCCTCGTACCAGTGTCTGAAGCCTCGTACCAGTGTTTGAAGCCTTGTACCAGTGTTTGAGACCTCGTCCCAGTGTTTGAAGCCTCGTACCAGTGTTTGAGGCCTCGTACCAGTGTTTGAAGCCTTGTACCAGCGTTTGAAGCCTCGTACCAGTGTTTGAAGCCTTGTACCAGTGTTTGAGGCCTCGTACCAGTGTTTGAATCCTCGTACCAGTGTTTGAGGCCTCGTACCAGTGTTTGAAGCCTCGTACCAGCGTTTGAAGCCTCGTAGCAGCGTTTGAAGCCTCGTACCAGTGTTTGAAGCCTCGTACCAGTGTTTGAAGCCTCGTACCAGTGTTTGAAGCCTCGTACCAGCGTTTGAAGCCTCGTACCAGCGTTTGAAGCCTCGTACCAGTGTTTGAAGCCTCGTACCTGTGTTTGAAGCCTCATACCTGTGTTTGAAGCCTCGTACCTGTGTTTGAGACCTCGTGCCAGTGTCTGAAGCCTCGTACCTGTGTCTGAAGCCTCGTACCAGTGTCTGAAGCCTCGTACCAGTGTCTGAAGCCTCGTACCAGTGTTTGAAGCCTTGTACCAGTGTTTGAGACCTCGTCCCAGTGTTTGAAGCCTCGTACCAGTGTTTGAGGCCTCGTACCAGTGTTTGAAGCCTTGTACCAGTGTTTGAAGCCTCGTACCAGTGTTTGAAGCCTTGTACCAGTGTTTGAGGCCTCGTACCAGTGTTTGAATCCTCGTACCAGTGTTTGAGGCCTCGTACCAGTGTTTGAAGCCTCGTACCAGCGTTTGAAGCCTCGTAGCAGCGTTTGAAGCCTCGTACCAGTGTTTGAAGCCTCGTACCAGTGTTTGAAGCCTCGTACCAGTGTTTGAAGCCTCGTACCAGCGTTTGAAGCCTCGTACCAGCGTTTGAAGCTTCGTACCAGTGTTTGAAGCCTCGTACCCGTGTTTGAAGCCTCGTACCAGTGTTTGAAGCCTCATACCAGTGTTTGAGGCCTCGTACCAGTGTTTGAAGCCTCGTACCAGCGTTTGAAGCCTCGTACCAGCGTTTGAAGCCTCGTACCAGTGTTTGAAGCCTCGTACCGGTGTTTGAAGCCTCGTAGCTATTTATGGTTGCCTTCACATACTACACAAACCTAGCTTACAGATGTATCCACACCTGACAGGGTTGCACAAATCTCTGCTGCAGGTGTGAGTGAAGCCGAGGGTGAGCCAGGTGAAGCGAGGGAGGAGTACACTCTACCTTCACTGGAGCAGGTTATACAGAGTGTACAAGACTTGGATGTACAACGTGTGCTGAGGATGTACAGTGAACAGCACAGTAAGGTGAGTCAACGTTTGTACACTTATCTTAACTTGTGCCTCAAATATTACAATAAATATTATTAATATTGTGTTAATATTAATTATTATTTTTTGGTTAGTAGTAGAAGCAATAGTACTGGTAGTACTAGCAGTAGTACTAGCAGTAGTACTAGCAGTAGTACTAGCAGTAGTACTAGCAGTAGTAGTACTAGTAGTAGTAGTACTAGTAGTAGTAGTACTAGTAGTAGTACTAGTAGTAGTAGTACTAGTAGTAGTAGTAGTACTAGTAGTAGTAGTAGTACTAGTAGTAGTACTACTACTAGTAGTAGTAGTACTAGTAGTAGTATTAGTAGTAGCAGTAGTACTAGTAGTAGTACTAGTAGTAGTAATACTAGTAGTAGTACTAGTAGTAGTACTAGTAGTAGTACTAGTAGTAGTAGTAGTACTAGTAGTAGTACTAGTAGTTAGTACTAGTAGTAGTACTAGTGTATACTAGTAGTAGTAGTACTAGTAGTAGTACTAGTAGTAGTAGTAGTACTAGTAGTACTAGTAGTAGTACTAGTAGTAGTTGTAGTACTAGTAGTAGTACTAGTAGTAGTAGTACTAGTAGTATTAGTGGTAGTACTAGTAGTAGTACTAGTAGCAGTAGTACTAGTAGTAGTACTAGTAGCAGTAATACTAGTAGTAGTAGTACTAGTAGTAGTAGTACTAGTAGTAGTACTAGTAGTAGTAGTAGTACTAGTAGTACTAGTAGTAGTACTAGTAGTAGTTGTAGTACTAGTAGTAGTACTAGTAGTAGTAGTACTAGTAGTATTAGTGGTAGTACTAGTAGTAGTACTAGTAGCAGTAGTACTAGTAGTAGTACTAGTAGCAGTAATACTAGTAGTAGTAGTACTAGTAGTAGTAGTACTAGTAGTAGTACTAGTAGTAGTAATACTAGTAGTAGTACTAGTAGTAGTAGTACTAGTAGTAGTACTAGTAGTAGTACTAGTAGTAGTAGTACTAGTAGTAGTAGTACTAGTAGTAGTAGTACTAGTAGTAGTATACTATAGTAGTATATAGTAGTAGTACTAGAGTAGTAGTAGTACTAGTAGTAGTAGTACTAGTAGTAGTACTAGTAGTTAGTACTAGCAGTAGTAAGAGTACTAGTAGTAGTACTAGTAGTACTAGTAGTTGTAGTACTAGTAGTAGTACTAGTAGTAGTACCAGTAGTAGTAGTACTTGTAGTAGTACTACTAGTAGTAGTAGTAGTACTAGTAGTAGTACTAGTAGTAGATACTAGTAGTATACAGTAGTACTAGTAGTACTGTATAGTACTAGTAGTAGTACTAGTAGTAGTACCTAGTAGTAGTAGTACTAGCGCTAGTAGTAGTACTAGTAGTAGTAGAAAGTAAGTAAGTAAGTTTATTCAGGTATACACAAATACAGTTACATAGAATTATCATACATAGCAGCATATGTGTAGTGAACCTGGGATAACCCAAAAAAGTCAGACAGAGTGACTTATTTCCATTGGGGTCCTTTTATCTTATTATTGTAATATAAAGGTTATAATATTTTCTTATTATTCTATAATGAAGATAACATCTTATTATCATACTAAAAAGACTATCTACTACAAGACAGGGTCATAAGAATCTACTACACAGGGTCATTAAGACTATCTACTACACGAGGGTCATTAAGACATCTATACACAGGTCATTAAACTATCTACAACGAGGGTCATTAAGACTATTTTACTACACGAGGGTCATTAAGACTATCTACAATACGAGGGTCATTAAGACTATCTATACACGAGGGTCATTAAGACTATCTACAATACGAGGGTCATTAAGACTATCTACTACACGAGGGTCATTAAGACTATCTACAATATGAGGGTCATTAAGACTATCTACTACACGAGGGTCATTAAGACTATCTACTACACGAGGGTCATTAAGACTATCTACTACACGAGGGTCATTAAGACTATCTACTACACGAGGGTCATTAAGACTATCTACTACACGAGGGTCATTAAGACTATCTACAATACGAGGGTCATTAAGACTATCTACTACACGAGGGTCATTAAGACTATCTACAATACGAGGGTCATTAAGACTATCTACTACACGAGGGTCATTAAGACTATCTACTACATGAGGGTCATTAAGACTATCTACTACACGAGGGTCATTAATACTATCTACTACACGAGGGTCATTAAGACTATCTACTACACGAGGGTCATTAAGACTATCTACTACACGAGGGTCATTAATTAATGACTATCTACTACACGAGGGTCATTAAGACTATCTACTACACGAGGGTCATTAAGACTATCTACTACACGAGGGTCATTAAGACTACAATACGAGGGTCATTAAGACTATCTACTACACGAGGGTCATTAAGACTATCTACAATACGAGGGTCATTAAGACTATCTACTACACGAGGGTCATTAAGACTATCTACTACACGAGGGTCATTAAGACTATCTACTACACGAGGGTCATTAAGACTATCTACTACACGAGGGTCATTAAGACTATCTACTACACGAGGGTCATTAAGACTATCTACTACACGTGGGTCATTAAGACTATCTACTACACGAGGGTCATTAAGACTATCTACTACACGAGGGTCATTAAGACTATCTACTACACGAGGGTCATTAAGACTATCTACTACACGAGGGTCATTAAGACTATCTACTATACGAGGGTCATTAAGACTATCTACTACACGAGGGTCATTAAGACTATCTACTACACGAGGGTCATTAAGACTATCTATACACGAGGGTCATTAAGACTATCTACAAACGAGGGTCATTAAGACTATCTACTACACGAGGGTCATTAAGACTATCTACTACACGTGGGTCATTAAGACTATCTACTATACGAGGGTCATTAAGACTATCTACTACACGAGGGTCATTAAGACTATCTACTACACGAGGGTCATTAAGACTATCTACAATATGAGGGTCATTAAGACTATCTACTACACGAGGGTCATTAAGACTATCTACTACACGAGGGTCATTAAGACTATCTACAATACGAGGGTCATTATAGGGATACGGTAAATTACACGTAGTGTTAGCTAAAAAATAGAAAATCATTCCGCTCCCTTTCTGTAGCTATTCATCACTACACCTTTTGGACTCTTCTTGAACTGGTTCATTGCTATGACTGGTCATTAGACATGTGCAGCAGTCTGTTCCATTCCTTTATTGCTGTACAATAAAAGGTGTTTGAAGCTGGCCACTGATCGTAGGTACTACAAGTTGTGCTCTCTCCCTATACTATGATTGCTTGGTTCCAACCGACAAAATTGACAGCAAGATATTCTAGGATTGTTTGTGAGCAATTTTATAAACATGATTAGCATTCAGTTGTTTTACTTTCTTAGCTAACATTCACATATCAAACGCTGTAATCATCCTGGGCTACATTTTCTTGTGTCCAGCCCAGATAAACTTACGATTTGTTCTGGTGATTTGCAGTCTATCTTCAGTTTTTTTGTCAAGCAGAGTACAGAAGAGCAAGCGTAATCCATTGGCATTGTATAAGGGCTAGACATAGGGTCCTGCGAGCCTCAGTAGGTAGACACTGTGCTTGTCTATACAGGAACTTCAGCCTGGCATTCGCTTTCTTTACTACACTGTTCCCTATCAATTCTCCTGACATGCATGGGTCAAAGGGGATTCCCAGATATTTTACTGATGAAACCAAAGTGATGGGCTCCCCATTACACTGAACATTAAAATTATTTACCCTTCTCAGTTTATGTTTCGTGCCAAAGAGAATGGCTTCAGTTTTCCCGAGGTGTAATGATTGTTTGTTGTCTACTAACTATTTGCTGCAGGACTCCAGTTCCAGTGTTAAAACTTTAGCAATATCTTGTGGGTCTTTACCTGACACTAACAGAGCACTGTCATCTGCATACAGTAGTAGTAGCAGCAGGAGTAGTAGTGACACAGTAGTGAGCATATCAATTGGGATATTGATTAAATAAGACATTTATTTGGAAAACTAATATTTATTTAAAAAATTCTGGGCAATGATATGACAGATAATGGATTTAATAATAGATATGACTATCCTTTGTTCTTATAAACATAGCTGCAACATAGAGTCAACCAATGTTGAACACATTTTGGCACGTTCTTCGTCCTGGTAACAGGTCCTAATAACAGCAGTAATTACTTTCTCCACAGGTCCTAATAACAGCATTAATTACCTGCTCCACAGGTCCTAGTAACAGCATTAATGAATTTCTCCACAGGTCTTAATAACAGCAGTAATTACCTGCTCCACAGGTCCTAATAACAGCAGTAATTAACTGCTTTACAGGTCTTAATAACAGCAGTAATTAGCTGCTTCACAGGTCCTAATAACAGCAGTAATTACCTGCTCCACAGGTCCTAATAACAACAGTAATTACCTGCTTCACAGGCCCTAATAACAGCAGTAATTACCTTCTCCACAGGCCCTAATAACAGCAGTAATTACCTTCTCCACAGTTGAACAATCCTGTTTGACGATCCAGCATTTGGTTATGATCCATAAATCCTCAATTGGGTTGAGGTAAGGAGAGTTTCCAGGGGCCAGTTTATAACGCTTAGCTCACTCTCTTCGACGAATGCCAGCACTTTTCTGGAAGTGTAGGGTGGAGCAAGAACCTGCTGGAAAATGGTTTCTCCATCATGAAAGTCTCTATCCACAATGGGAAGCAAATGAGTTGCCAGGATTACCTTGAATGTGTCACTGTTCATTGTTCCTCAATAATAACAATCCGTCGAGGTCCTTCAGCAGTAAAACTAGCGCAAAACATCTTCCCGGGTCAGTGTTTCGGTACTTTTTGAATGTGTCCATTCCTAAGAGGTTCGCCTTTGCTCCATCTCACTTTCACTGATCTGTATCCATGTACTTGAAACTGCCCCTCACCTGAATATATCGGTTTTCTCCATTTATCTGTCGTCCATTCCTTATGATCGAGTGCCCACCACAGCCGTTTTTTCTTCATAGCAGCAGTCAGTAATTGTTTCTTTACCGGCTTTCTGGCAGTTCTGCCAACTCCAAGGAGCCTTCGTCAAACAGTTGAAGAATCAATATTTATGCCAGCTGAAGCCAAATCTCTCTGTAGATCTTTATTAGTTTTTTTGGGATCCTTCACACTATTTCTTATGACAATCTTGCCATCGTGAGATGTTGTCTTGCATTTTCTTCCATATCTTCCTCGACACAGCATTCCACAACCACCAGTGTAGTAGCTGTCTTCAGAATCCGACCAACAGTTGGCTTTTCTGGGCTCAAATTTAGGCAGTCTGTCTGATATTAAAATCTGTATGCTTCCTAGGTGTAACATCCATCATGAATTTCAGCAGTAATCATTAATGGAAGGGTAGAATTTGGCGAAATGACATTCACTCATGGAGCACGCTTGCAGGAATAGCCGTACAGAACAACAGCTGTTGCAGCACTGACGAGAGTTGCAGGGTACCACCACAGTTGGAGGGTTGCCAGAAGTCGGTAGCAAATTCTTCTGAAGAGAAAAGAACCCAGACATATTATATGATAATCACAAAATTTATTCCTGTCCCAATTATTTTGCACACTAGTAGTACTAGTAGTAGTAGTAGTAGTAGCATTAATAAAAAAATCACGTGGCAGCATCTCATTGCCTAAAAGCATGCAGACATGGTCAAGAGGATCAGTTGTTCAGAAGAAGAAATGTGATCTAAGTAACTGTGACCGTAGAATAATTGTTGGTGCCAGACAGTCAGGGTGCTTTAAGTATTTCAGAAACTGCTGATATTCTGGGATTTCCATGCACAAGACTCTCTAGAGTTTACAGAAAATGTTGTAAAAACCACAAAACATCCAGTGAGTGGCAGTTCTGTGGGCAAAAACTCTTTGTTAATGAAAGAATTCAGAGGAGAATGACCAGACTGGTTCAAGCTGACAGGAAGGTGACAGTAACTTCAATAACCACGTGTTACAACAACAGTATGCAGAAGAACATCTTTGAAAGAACAACACATGAAACCTTAAAATGGGTAGGCTACAGCAGCAGCAGACAGCACCGTGTTCCACTCCTGTCAACTAAGAACATGGAAGTGAGGCTACAGTGGGCACAGGCTCACAAAAACTGGACAGTTTTAGATTGGAAAACATCGCCTCGCCTGACGAATTGCGATTTTTGCTGTGACATGTAGATGTTAGGGTCAGAATTTGATGTATATCTTTGGGATGTGGTGGAACTGGAAATTTACAGCATGAATGTGCATCTAATAAATCTGCAGCAACTGCGTGATGCTATCATGTCAACATGGAACAGGATCTCTAAGGAGCATTTCCAGCACTTTGTTCAATCAGTGCTACAAAGAATTCAAATATTTCTGGCGGAAGAGGATGTCACCTACCCAGTACTAGAAGGCGGGCCCTACCCAGTACTAGAAGGTGGGACCTACCCAGTACTAGAAGGTGGGACCTACCCAGTACTAGAAGGTGGGACCTACCCAGTACTAGAAGGTGAGCCCTACCCAGTACTAGAAGGTGGGCCCTACCCAGTACTAGAAGGTGGGACCTACCCAGTACTAGAAGGTGATCCCTACCCAGTACTAGAAGGTGAGCCCTACCCAGTACTAGAAGGTGAGCCCTACTCAGTACTAGAAGGTGAGCCCTACCCAGTACTAGAAGGTGGGACCTACCCAGTACTAGAAGGTGATCCCTACCCAGTACTAGAAGGTGGGACCTACCCAGTACTAGAAGGTGGGCCCTGCCCAGTACTAGAAGGTGGGCCTTGCCCAGTACTAGAGGGTGGGCCCAACCCAGTGCTAGAAGGTGGGACCTACCCAGTGCTAGAAGGTGAGCCCTACCAAGTAACAGAAGGGTATACTTAATAAAGTGGCCTATGAGTGTGTGTGTATATGTGTACTCACCTAACTGTACCCACCTAATTGTGGTTGCAGGGGTCGAGACTCATCTCCTGACCCCGCCTCTTCACTGAGTGCTACTAGGTCCTCTCTCTTCCTGCTCCATGAGTTTTATCGTACCTCATCTTAAAGCTATGTATGGTTCCTGCCCCCACTACCTCACTTGCTAGGCTATTCCATTTCCTGACTACTCTATGACTGTAGAAATACTTCCTAATATCCCTTTGACTCATCTGGGTCTTCAGCTTCCAATTGTGACCCCTTGTTTCTGTGCCCCCTCTTTGGAACATCCTGTCTCTGTCCACCTTGTCTATTTCACGCAGTATTTTGTATGTTGTTATCATGTCTCCCCTAACCCTTCTGTCCTCCAGTGTCGTCAGCCCGATTTCCCTTAACCTTTCTTCATAGGACATTCCCCATAGCTCTGGAACTAACCTTGTCGCAAACCATTGCACTTTCTCTAATTTCTTGACGTGCTTGATCAAGTGTGGGTTCCAAACAGGTGCTGCATACTCCAATATGGGCCTGATGTACACGGTGTACAGTGTCTTGAACGATTTGCCAGGCGCCTATATGCTGCAGCAGTTATCTGGTTGATGTGTGCTTCCGGAGAAGTGCTTGGTGTTATACACACCCCAGGATCTTTCTCCTTAAGCAAGGTTTGCAGTCTTTGGCCACCTAGCCTACACTCTGTCTGCGGTCTTCTGTGCCCTTCCCCAATCTTCATGACTTTGCATTTGGCGGGGTTAAATTCGAGAAGCCAGTTACTGGACCAGGTGTCCAGTCTGTCCAGGTCTCTTTGAAGTCCTACCTGATGCTAATCTGATTTAATTCTCCTCATTAACTTCACATCATATGCGAATAGGGACACTTCTGAGTCTAACCCTTCCGTCATGTCATTCACATATACCAGAAATAGCACTGGTCCTAGGACCGACCCCTGTGGGACCCCGCTCGTCACAAGTGCCCACTGTGATACCTCATAACGTACCATGACTCGTTGTTGCCTCCCTGTCAGGTATTCTCTGATCCATTGCAGTGCCCTTCCTGTTATATGCGCCTGATCATCTAGCTTTTGCACCAATCTCCTGTGAGGAACTGTGTCGAAGGCCTTCTTGCAGTCCAAGAAGATGCAATCAACCCACCCCTCTCTCTCTCGTGTCTTACTTCTGTTACTTTATCATAAAAGTCCAGTAGGTTTGTGACACAAGAATTGCCTTCCATAAATCCATGCTGGTTGGCATTTATACTCTTGTTGTGTTCCAGGTGCTTCACCGTTCTCCTCCTGATATTTTTCTCCATTACTTTGCATACTATGCACATCAGTGACACTGGTCTATAGTTTAGTGCCGATTTTGTCTCCTTTTACAAATATGGGTACTACATTTGCCGTCTTCCATACTTCAGGTAGTTGTCCAGTTTCAAGGGATGTGTTGAAGATTGTGGTTAGTGGCACACACAGCACTTCTGCTCCCTCTCTAAGGACCCACGGGGAGATGTTGTCTGGTCCTATTGCCTTTGGGGTATCAAGGTCCCTAAGCAGCTTCTTCACCTCCTCCTCAGTTGTGTGTATGTCATCTAACACTTGTTGGTATATTCCTTGTAGGTGTCCCCCTCTGTTCTGTCCACCCAGAGACCTTCCTGTCTCCACTGTAAATACTTCCTTAAATCTCTTGTTGAGCTCCTCACATACCTCTTGATCGCTTCTGGTGAGTTCTCCACCTTCTTTCCTCAGCCTGATCACCTGGTCTTTGACTGTTGTCTTCCTCCTAATGTGGCTATACAGCAGTTTTGGGTCACACTTGGCTTTCGATGCTATGTCGTTTTCGTATTGTCGCTGGGCCTCTCTCCTTATCTGTGCATACTCGTTTCTGGCTCTTCAATTAGTCTCTCTATTTTCCTGGGTCATTTGCCTCCTGTATCTTTTCCAGTCTCTGTTGCACTTAGTTTTTGCCTCCCTACACCTTCGGGTAAACCAAGGCTTTGGTCTTCCCATTATTTCTATTGCCCTTGGGAACAAACCTTTCCTCTGCCTCCTTGCATTTTGTTGTTATGTATTCCATCATTTCATTTACTGACTTTCCTGCCAATTCTCTGTCCTACTGAACCTCCTGCAGGAAGTTCCTCATAACTGTGTAGTCTACCTACACAGGTGTGTGTGTGTGTGTGTGTGTGTGTAATGAGTGTTACTGTAACATACAGTGTTGTGTAACGTCTTTCCAGGTACCTCCAACACCCCCGGTGAGGCTGGTGGTGTCGTCCACATGGAGGAGTGGATCAACCTTGCTAGCGGAGGTCCTGGCAGCTCACCCTGGAGTCTACTACCACTATGAACCACTCATGTCCTACGGTCTCCAGCAGCTCTCCTCCACTCATACCAGCAAGGTAACACAGCCAAGGTAACACAGCTCAGGTAACACAGCCATGGTAACACAGCCCGGGTAACATAGCCACGGTAACACAAACCAGGTAACACAGTAACTGCGTGATGCAACAAGACTAGGCCCAGAGCTAAGGGGAATGTCCTACGAAGAAAGATTAAGGGAAATCGACCTGACGACACTGGAAAAAAAAATTTCTACTTTCCTCAACAACCTCCAATGTGGAGCTCAATCACAATATCATATTCATTACCATGATCTACCTCCTCAAATATCTCAATGAAAAAAGTTAGTAAATTCGTAAGGCAGAGACGACCCTTTGTCTAGGTATACTGAGAATCATTAATCAATTTGTCTTCAAATCTGTTTCATAACTCGTTTGTGAACTGAATCTTAACTGAATGTTTTCCTGTTACACATAACAGGGTGAGATCCTGCAGGTGCTGCAGGGCCTTCTGCAGTGCGACTACAGCAGCGCAGAAGAATACCTAGAGTTCGCCTTCACGAACCACGAAGTCTTCGTGCGCAACACTCGGCTGTGGTCCATGTGCAGTGCCATGCCTCGCTCCAAGTGCTACAACCCTGACACTTTGGCTAGACTCTGCTCTCTCTTCCCCGTGCATGTGATGAAGGTGGTGAGGGCCAGGCTTGAGCTCCTGGCCTCCTTGCTAAGGGACCCGCGTGTGAGGTTGGTGTGGCTCGTGCGTGATCCAAGAGCCGTCATGAGCTCTAGGAAGAACAGCGTGACCTGGTGTCAGACTCGTGCTTGCAGTGATGCTGGGTACCTGTGCTCTGACCTGGAAGAGGACTTTAACACCTATCTGGTGCTGAAGGAGAACTTTCCAGGTCGGGTGATGCTGCTGAGGTACGAAGACCTGGCCAGGAAGCCTTACGAGAAGAGCCGCGAGATCCTCCACTTCGCTGGACTTACTTTCCACCGCGAGGTTCAGGACTACCTCGATGATCACCTGACCTCGGACGAGGATGAACCCTGGAGCACACGTCATGACCCCATGACCCGAGTCGCTCGCTGGATGAAGGTCATGCACTTCGAAGACGTGGTCACCACTCAGTACCAGTGTCACAGTGTCATGAAAAACCTTGGCTACCGACGCTTCAACTCCAGGACTGACATGGACAACGGCAACGCTGTGGGACTTTTAAATGTTCCATAACAGTTGCCGCTCTGGGTTTGAAGTCTGTCAACCACGCGAGGGTCACTGAGGCTAGTGTAGATAAAAAGAAACTCTCAGTGTACAGTAAGACACCTCACAGTGTATATATACTGAGAGATACAGAACTCTTGGTGCATATGGCAGGACAGCCGGGAATCAAATCCCCGATAGTTTAGCACACCTCTGAGAAGTCCACCAAAATTCCGAGATGCATTAATACAAACACGCACACGTTTGTATATATATATATATATATTTATATATATATATATATATATATATATAATATATAATATAATATATATTATATATATATATAAATATATATATATATAATCAATATAAACAGGTGATATTACAATCTGCAGATCAAACCACACTGTGAACGAATGGCGATATTCCCAACTCTCTCGTGACTTTCCAACATTATCAAGGAACTATGTTAGTTTCTTGATAATGTGAGAAGTTACGAGAGCGCTGGGAATTTCGCCATTCTTTCACAGTGGTTGATCTGCATATACATACATACAAACATATATGAAATTGGCGAGTTTGGCTTGAGAAACAAGGGGGTTATTTTTGACGAGTCGAAATATATTTTTTAAAATACTATCTGCGAGTGATTGGTGGAATGATGAAGTAAAGGGTGTGATAAAAGAGAAAAAGGTAGCTTATGAGAGGTTTTTACGAAGCAGAAGTGATATAAGAAGAGCAGAGTATATGGAGAGTAAAAGAAAGGTGAAGAGGGTGGTGAGAGAGTGCAAAAGGAGAGCAGATGAAAGAGTGGGAGAGGCACTGTCAAGAAATTTTAATGAAAATAAGAAAAAATTTTGGAGTGAGTTAAACAAGTTAAGAAAGCCTAGGGAAAGTATGGATTAGTCAGTTAAAAACAGAGTAGGGGAGTTAGTAGATGGGGAGAGGGAGGTATTAGGTAGATGGCGAGAATATTTTGAGGAACTTTTAAATGTTGAGGAAGAAACAGAGGCAGTAATTTCATGCACTGGCCAGGGAGGTATACCATCTTTTAGGAGTGAAGAAGAGCAGAATGTAAGTGTGGGGGAGGTACGTGAGGCATTATGTAGAATGAAAGGAGGTAAAGCAGCTGGAACTGATGGGATCATAACAGAAATGTTAAAAGCAGGGGGGGGGGGATATAGTGTTGGAGTGGTTGGTACTTTTGTTTAATGGTATAAACCTTGGTAATAAATACCGACAAGTTGGTTTAGAAAGACACGTAAGCAAACACTATAACATATTTATTAGAAAACGTTTCGGTCCTGGGACCTTGATCACTTCTAACATACAGAGGTAGAAAGACATTATATATATAGGCGGAGAGTGAGATGTGACGCACGTGACCTGAGGAATGTCATAAGAACATAAGAATGGAGGAACACTGTAGAAGGCCTACTGGCCCATGCGAGGCAGGTCCTTATCAAAACAGCCTCTGCCTATGATGAGGACGGGTAGACGATGAAATCATGTGACTCCTGTGTTGTTGGGTTGGTGCTGCTTAAGTATCATGTATGCCAATGTTTTTGAAATTTTGTAGTTTCCAGTGTTGCGTTCTATAGTGTCGGTGACGGTGATTAGTGAGGCTTCTAGGCACCGTCGGCGTCTGAGGTCTGGTTCGGTGAGAACGAGTTGTGCCTCGTTCCAGTTCATCAAATGCCCCGTGGAGTCTCTGTGGAGGAACACAGGCGTACCTTACATCGTCTCTGTTAGAGGCATTTCGATGCTCATTCAGGCGGACTGCAAGATCTCTGCCTGTCTCGCCTATATATTTCTTGGGACAGAACCCACAGGGGATAGTGTAGACGCCTGTTGTCGAAGTTAGAGGTGTGGGGCTGCGTTTAGTAGTGAGGTCTTTGATAGAGGATGTGTTTATGGTGGAAACGTTGATGTTACTCATAGCAAGTGCCCGGCGAGTATTCGTGGCAACATCGCCACATGGGAGTACTATGAACTGTTTAGGGGGCTGTTCCATGGGCGGTTTGTTGAGGATAGCTTGTGCCTTGAGTCTGCAATCTCGGATGAAGAAAGATGGGAACTGGAGACGTGTAAAGGCTTGTGTTATGTAAGTGCATTCTTCTTCTAGAAAAAAAGGGGCTGGAGATGCGAAGAGCTCTCAAGAAGAAGCCAATGAGGACTCCTCTCTTAGTGCGGGTATCTTGGTGTGAATAAAAGTGTATAAGATCGTCCTTGTTGGTAGGTTTTCTATACACTTTGAAGAGAAGTTTGTCACTGTCGGGAGATCTGCACAGTAGAACGTCGAGGAAAGGAAGTTTGCCATCATTTTCGAGTTCAAGTGTAAACTTTATTGATGGTTCAACTGCATTGATCTTGTTGAGAAGGCCTGGATATTGAGACGTCTCGGATAGAAAACCAATATATAAATCAACGTATCTTAGCCAGGTAACGGTGTTGGGAATGAGGGTGCTGAATTTCTCTGTCTCCAAGTTTTCCATGAAGAGGTTGGCAAGCACAGCACTGAGCGGGCTGCCCATTGCCATCCCAAAGCATTGTTTGTAACAGTTGTCCTGATACTTGAAGAAGTTGAAATTAACACACAGTTCCACTAGATTGATGAAATCTAGAAGAGTAAAGGGAGGTCGTGGTTTTCAGTGAGCCTCTGTCTCAGAATGTTGATTGCAGCGTCAGTAGGAACGTTGGTAAAGAGGGCTGTGACATCGAAGGAAGCCATGCTTTTGTTTTTGACATTCAGGTTGGAAATTCGGGAGAGAAGGTCACCTGAGTGTTTGAGGTGGGCTTGACTGATAGTGCCCAGAAGCGCTGAAAGGTATTTGGCAAGGTGGCCGGCTAGTCTGTGTGGTGCACTCCCTATGCCCGAAGTGATAGGCCGTAGTGGGATGCCAGGTTTGTGTGTCTTAGGAAGGCCATAAACACATCCTCTATCAAAGACCTCACTACTAAACGCAGCCCCACACCTCTAACTTCGACAGCAGGCGTCTACACTATCCCCTGTGGGTTCTGTCCCAAGAAATATGTAGGCGAGACAGGCAGAGATCTTGCAGTCCGCCTGAATGAGCATCGAAATGCCTCTAACAGAGACGATGTAAGGTACGCCTGTGTCCTCCACAGAGACTCCACGGGGCATTTGATGAACTGGAACGAGGCACAACTCGTTCTCACCGAACCAGACCTCAGACGCCGACGGTGCCTAGAAGCCTCACTAATCACCGTCACCGACACTATAGAACGCAACACTGGAAACTACAAAATTTCAAAAACATTGGCATACATGATACTTAAGCAGCACCAACCCAACAACACAGGAGTCACATGATTTCATCGTCTACCCGTCCTCATCATAGACAGAGGCTGTTTTGATAAGGACCTGCCTCGCATGGGCCAGTAGGCCTTCTACAGTGTTCCTCCATTCTTATGTTCTTATGACATTCCTCAGGTCACGTGCGTCACATCTCACTCTCCGCCTATATATATAATGTCTTTCTACCTCTGTATGTTAGAAGTGATCAAGGTCCCAGGACCGAAACGTTTTCTAATAAATATGTTATAGTGTTTGCTTACGTGTCTTTCTAAACCAACTTTTGTTTAATAAATGCATGAAAGAGGGGAAGGTACCTAGGGATTGGCGGAGAGCATGTATAGTCCCTTTATATAAAGGGAAGGGGGACAAAAGAGATTGTAAAAATTATAGAGGAATACATTTACTGAGTATACCAGGAAAAGTGCACGGTAAGGTTATAATTGAAAGAATTAGAGATAAGACAGAATGTAGGATTGTGGATGAGCAGGGAGGCTTCAGAGTGGGTAGGGGATGTGTAGATCAAGTGTTTACATTGAAACATATATGTGAACAGTATTTAGATAAAGGTAGGGAAGTTTTTATTGCATTTATGGATTTAGAAAAGGCATATGATAGAGTAGATAGGGGAGCAATGTGGCAGATGTTGCAAGTATATGGAATAGGTGGTAAGGTACTAAATGCTGTAAAGAGTTTTTATGAGGATAGTGAGGCTCAGGTTAGGGTGTGTAGAAGAGAGGGAGACTACTTCCCGGTAAAAGTAGGTCTTAGACAGGGATGTGTAATGTCACCATGGTTGTTTAATATATTTATAGATGAGTTTGTAAAAGAAGTAAATGCTAGGGTGTTCGGGAGAGGGGTGGGATTAAATTATGGGGAATTAAATACAAAATGGGAAGTGACACAGTTACTTTATGCTGATGATACTGTGCTTATGGGAGATTCTAAAGAAAAATTGCAAAGGTTAGTGGATGAGTTTGGGAATGTGTGTAAAGGTAGAAAGTTGAAAGTGAACATAGAAAAGAGTAAGGTGATGAGGGTATCAAATGATTTAGATAAAGAAAAATTGGATATCAGATTGGGGAGGAGAAGTATGGAAGAAGTGAATGTTTTCAGATATTTGGGAGTTGACGTGTCAGCGGATGGATTTATGAAGGATGAGGTTAATTATAGAATTGATGAGGGAAAAAAGGTGAGTGGTGCGTTGAGAAATAAGTGAAGTCAAAAAATGTTATCTATGGAGACAAAGAAGGGAATGTATGAAAGTATAGTAGTACCAACACTCTTATATGGGTGTGAAGCTTGGGTGGTAAATGCAGCAGCGAGGAGGCGGTTGGAGGCAGTGGAGATGTCCTGTCTAAGGGCAATGTGTGGTGTAAATATTGTGCAGAAAATTCTGAGTGTGGAAATCAGGAGAAGGTGTGGAGTTAATAAAAGTATTAGTCAGAGGACTGAAGAGGGGTTGTTGAGGTGGTTTGGTCATTTAGAGAGAATGGATCAAAGTAGAATGACATGGAGAGTGTATAAATCTGTATGGGAAGGAAGGAGGGGTAGGGGTCGTCCTCGAAAGGGTTGGAAAGAGGGGGTAAAGGAGGTATTGTGGGCGGGGGGTTTGGACTTCCAGCAAGCGCGCGTGAGCGTGTTAGATAGGAGTGAATGGAGACGAATGGTATTTGGGACCTGACGAGCTGTTGGAGTGTGAGCAGGGTAATATTTAGTGAAGGGATTCAGGGAAACCGGTTATTTTATATAGCCGGACTTGAGTCCTGGAAATGGGAAGTACAATGCCTGCACTCTAAAGGAGGGGTTTGGGATATTGGCAGTTTGGAGGGATATATTGTGTATCTTTATACGTATATGCTTCTAAACTGTTGTATTCTGAGCACCTCTGCAAAAACAGTGATTATGTGTGAGTGAGGTGAAAGTGTTGAATGATGAAAGTATTTTCTTTTTGGGAATTTTCTTTCTTT